AGTAGGGATCCTCCTACATCGGGATCTGCAGGCCCAGGTGATTGATGCAGAAACTGATGTTTGGGGGAGATGGGCATGGATGAAGGCGGCAATAGGGAACGAGGAATGGGTATTTATGACAGTCTATGCTCCGACGGATGCGGGGGAAAGGGCAAGATTCTTCAAAAGGCTGATGCATCACATACCAGTGGCTGAGAAACTAGTGCTAGCCGGGGATTGGAACGTGTCCCTCGACGACGCCCTTAGGCCCGGGTCTCCAACAGCAGATAGGCAAGATGTGCGTGGTCTGCTGGAATTCTGCTCGGAACTGGAACTCGCAGACCCGTTCCCGGTGCTGAATCCGAATGACCCGGGATATACCTGGGTCTCACATCTCTATAGGGACAGACAAGCGGTTACTAGAAGGAGGCTGGACTTCTTTCTGTTGGGCGAAGAACTGCAGAGCAGGGTGACAGCGGTCAGACAAGTGTGTGACCCGCTGTCGGACCACAAACCGGTAGTGACGGATCTGCGAATGCAGATTGGAGTGGAGAGAGGGAAAGGCTTCTTTCGGTTGAACAGCCAAGTACAGGAGACCCCAGGGGTAAGAGAATGGATGACAGACCATATGAGGAAGTGGGAGGAAGCGAGAAGGTATTTTGAGAACGCTGCACAGTGGTTAGATGGAGGGTTAGCAATTGCTATAGGGGTACTAGATGTGATATCTAGAACCTTGGCGAGGGAAAGAAACAGAAAAGAGGCGGACTGCAAGAGAAGAGTCGAGGAGGCAGAGTTGAGAATGGAGGGACACCCAATCTCGGCTATGGTTTGGGCTGCAGAACGGGAGAGGCGTTTGTCGGAGTGGGATAATTTGCAACCAGAGAAGGAGAAACGGTGGACAGAGCTACTCAAAGTGAAAGGGATCGAAACCAATGACAAGATGTCAAAGGAGACGTTCCAAAGACTCCAGCCTAGCCGAACGCATCATCAGATGATCGAGCTCAGACACCCGTTTGACGCCGCGGCTCCACCGGCTTGCTCAGCGTTGGGCATGCTGCATTATGCAAGTCTTTACTACGCGGATATCCTCACCACCAGGCGACCGCAAGATGACGTTAACTCTGACCTCTCTGTGGACTCGGACATGTGGGATGACACTTCGGTCAGACTCCAAACCACAGCAAGACTGGACCTGGACAGGCCAATCACGATGGAAGAAACAAGGCAAACGCTGAAGTCCATGGCGAAGGGGAAGTCGCCAGGTGTGGACGGGCTGATGGTGGAGTTTTACTCAGCAAATTGGGAGGCACTCGGACGTCAGTTGGTAGAAGTCTACGATGAAGTCTTGACAGGAGGCCGGTTGGGGAAGGGTATGACGCACGGCATCATCTCGGTCCTGTTTAAGAAGGGTGACAAGGCGGAAGTTAGGAACTGGCGACCCATCTCCCTCCTTAATGTCTCATATAAGATTCTGGCAAAAACGCTGGCTCGGAGATTAGCCAGATACTTACCGGACCTAATAGAGAAGGACCAGGGGGCATTTGTGCAGGGCCGTTCAATATTCAATAATATTGTAACGGCCATCGAAACACTGGAAATAGTGCAGAGGGAAGAACTGGACACGGCAGGCCTTCTCCTTGATTTGGAGAAGGCCTACGATAAGGTGGGGTGGGCGTTCACACTCACCACACTGAGGAGAATGGACTTCGGACGGGGTTTCTGCGCATGGGTGATCGCTATGTATACGCTGTCAACTTCGGCAGTCATGATCAACGGGCATGTGTCAGAGGCCTTCCCTCTGTTGAGGTCACTTAGACAAGGGTGCCCGCTGGCGCCACTGGTCTTCGTATTGCAGTTGGAGGTCCTGTTGAACAAGATTCGGAGGCATCCCAACATTAGAGGCTTGGAACTGCACAGGGGTGAAGAGTGTCGGGTGAAGGCCCTAGCGGACGATTTGTTTGCGGTAAGCTCCAACACCGAAACCTCGTTGAAGGCTCTCAAAGAATGCATTGGAGAGTATGCAAGGCTATCAGAGGCAACCATGAACTGGAATAAGTCCACGTACCTGCTGCCCACACAGTTTACACTGAAGGCAGAATGGGGCATGAAGAGAGTGGAGGATGGGGAGGAGGAGCGCTTCCTGGGGGTTCTGGTCAGCATGCAGAYCGAGTCGTCTACTCARGGTCTGTTATTGCAACAACGTGTGTCAGCTAGACTCAGACTATGGGGAATTGCGTTTCATTTGTCCCTAATCGGGAGGGCACTGGTCACCAACGTGGCTCTTTTCTCAATCCTATGGTTTGTGACCACGGCCAGGGAGTTAGCAGAGGGTGTGATCAAAGCAATTAGACGCCTGGCTTCCAGATTTATCTGGAAACCAAGAGCTTAGGCAAATGAAGGTTACATCTCCAAGGTAGCCTTTGATACTCTGTCCTTCCCCAGATCGGAAGGTGGCCTGGGTCTTATGGACCCGGCCCGTAGGAACCAGTCCCAGCTTCGTTGCTGGGTTGCCTGGGTTGCAACACAGAACACAAATGAGCAGTGGGTGATTTTGGCCGAAAAAATTTTGATGGATGAATGGGAACTGTGCAGGCCGGAGGATGTATGGGTATGTTGGTTCTTACCTTCTTTCAGGAAGAGGAGATTGAAGTCAGTGTTCTGGGAAGCTATCCGGAAAGCCTGGAAGAAGGTCCCCCCGGATGTGAGGTCTCCACCGTCTACCAAGGACGAAGTGTTGGCTCAGCCATTTTGGACCAATCCGGGGAAAGTTTTGCTGCAAATGGAGCCACAGGGTTGTTCGGGCTCAGCTGGATCAAGCGTGGGGTAGTGCGGATCGCGGACATCTGGTCCACGCTGTTAGGGACCTGGGCACCTGTCTCAGAGATTAAAGCTTCACTCAGAGGCCTGCACAGAGTAGAAGAGCACAGGGACCAAATTATTAATGCCATCCCTCAGTCTTGGTTAGATCTGCTGGGCCCGGAGGGATTGGATCCTCCAGGCACGTGGTACACTTCGACACAGGAGGAGGAGGCGAATGTGGTTTGGAAAGTAACACAAATCACCGAGAGCGGGTTCAGAAAGGTGGAGAGGTGGAAATGCGAGGGCCCAAGGAACACGCTGTCATTTGTGGAAGAAGAAGTGATCCGCGTCTGGGACAACCCTGCTCAGATCAGGGTGGTGGTGGAACGGAGCAGACGACCGGCAGCAGAAGTTCTCACGTGGATAGGAAAGGTTCCTCTGAGAAAACTGTGCATTGATCCTACGGCATGGGGCTGGTACTTGAGAGACTATACAGTCTCCAACGGATATCGTCTAGCGGCAGGTAACCTCAAAACACCGGCCAAAATTGCCATCCCCCGCTGGCAAGCAATCTGTTCGGAAGACTTATCTGACTCGGAGTCGGAGTTTACAAGATTATGGGAGGCCCTGGCCAATTTACCGAATGGCAAACAAGTTAGCATACTGTGGATGCTGTCGTTGTTAGTCACACCTTCGGTTGTTTGGTGTTTGAGCAAAGGAATGGAGGTAAATCTAGGTTGCTCGAGGTGCCGATGGCCGTTCGAGTCCACACGTCACCTGTGTGGGGACTGTCCCGCCTCCAAACGAGTCTGGGATTGGTGGGCATACCACTGGAAGGAACTTGGGGGCCAAGAGGTGCAGTGGGAAGAGAGATGGGTTCTCCTGGGATTTCTTCCGCCAGGGGTATCTGGGAAAAGAGGATGGGGATACATTGCGCACGTGATGAGAGGAGTGATCTGCGAAGTCATTTGGATGGAAAGAAACAGGTCGAGATTTCAGGGGAGACCTTTCTCCGACCTGGAAACCAAGAGCCACATAAAGCGAAGCCTGAAACTGGCGATCCGAGTGGACTGGAGGAGGAAAGCGAAATGCGGCAAGGGTAGCAGGAAACATCTCAGGTGGTTTCTACACACTTGGGCGAGAACGCACAGGCTGGGAAGTGCACAACAGGAAGGGGCTGATTCTGTCCAACTGGGTCCTGGATGTTAGCAACAACACGTAGTGGCCTGAGAGAGTAGGGTGGGAGCGAGGAAAGCAATTCCGGAGGGAGGGGAGCTCAGAGTCCGGGGGGGCTCCCTCGAACGGAGGGGCCCCGAGTATCAGGGCACTCGGTCTTCTAGGGCCGCAGTGGGCCTTTAGGAGAGTGCCAGTAGGGCAGGGACGCAGTCCGCTGGGCCGACTTAGTCCCAGTTCGAATCCCTGTTCCTGTTAAGGGAACAAGCCTCCTGCGACATTGGGAGGGAAGAAGTCTGGCTTAACTCTAGTAAACTATGCTTTATTCAGTCTTTGCTGTAATGCTTGATGTTTGATTGAGTATCCCTCAGTAGGAAAGTTCATTTTAGTTGGCCAGACTCTCGGTATAGTTAACATAGGAGCAATGCCATCCAACATGTCTAAGTAGCTTCGAAGAAGTGGTAACAGTTTGGTTGTACTGCAAGGCTCGGATATGTTAGTGAAACTGTGTAGGACTTTGGAAAGTTGGCAGATTCAACTTTTTGCAGGTGCAAGCCTGTAAGCTAAGCTGGCTGATGCTGTCAGTACCTCCGGGTAGAATTGTGAGGTCCCCGGCCTCTGTTGTTGGAT